GAGGATGTGGAAGTTAAGAGTGATCGCGTGCAGATTAGGTTGGGCCGATCGAAAACTGATGTTTTCGGCAAAGGCTGCTCCGTGGTGCTATTCGAGTTGCCGGGGTCAGGGTTGTGCCCGGTGGCCTGCGGATCAGGGTACCTGGGGATCCGTCCTAACGTTAGCGGTTGTTTTTTCCTGCACGCTGACGGCACGGCGCTGTCACGGTTTCAATTCATTAGGATTTTTCGTTTGGGCTTAGTGAAGCTGGGCCTGCAGCCCACGCAATTCGGGTCGCATTCGTTCCGTATCGGTGCGGCTACAGAGGCGGCACGCTTGGGTTTGGGTGACGAGCGGATCAAGAGGATCGGACGGTGGGAATCCGTGCGGTTTCGCTCGTATGTGAGGCCCGACGGGATGGTGGAGCTCTGAGGGGTTAAATGGCCGGGACTGGGGGACACTGGCTCTGCGGTGTAATTAATTTTGTCTCTTTTCAGGTTGGAATGTTTGGTTGCTGGGACACTCGTTCGTATATTGGGCACAGAAGAGGGCCGCAGTTCGGAGACAAGGAACACAACTGGGCTTTCCTCTGGAACGGGCGGTCTTATCCTGGTTTGGTTTTCGAGGTTTTAGTTGGCAGAGCTTGAGTAATGTTTTATTTACAAAAGTGTCCAAGGGTCCGGTTCCGGATGTTGTAGTGGTGCACGGTGGGGGGAATGACTTAGGGCTGATTCCGCAACGGGAACTGTTGCGGCGAATGAAGAGGGACATGGATCGGCTACGGGAGCTGGTCCCTGACGTGGTGGTGGTGTGGTCCGAGATGGTGCCTCGTTTTACATGGCGTCACGCCAGGGACCCTGCTGCGGTGGCACGATGCAGGGGGAAGGTTAATAGAGCTATGGCAGTATTTGTTAAGAGGATGGGGGGAATAGTGGTGAGGCATCGGGAACTGGAGGGCATGTTGCCAGGTTATTATAGGAGGGATGGAGTACACCTGTCAGAGGTGGGGTGTGACTTGCTGAACTTGGGGTTCCAGGAGGGCATAGCCCGAGCCCTGTTTCAGTGTGGTGGGGGTCGCACATGGTCTTAAGGGGTCAAGACAAGTGCTGTGGCGGAACAGGGCGTGGTTAAGTTGGAAGTTATCAAGGAATTGGAACTGTACAGGCCAGGGCCTAGGCTGAAGTAGGCCAGACGGTGTCATGGTTGGTAGGTTCTAGCTCTTCGGTGGCGACGAACCTGGGGGTGTAGGGGTGTCTGGGTACACCCCTACAGTTATCATTATGATATGGGGCCTCGTTGGTAGGCCGGGTGTTTACAAGTTTATTGGTAATTGATGTTAATTATTGTTCATGTGGTAGGGTCATTGTCAGGGGATTGTGCGGGGGGATAATAAATAATGTCATTTATGACAATGACCCTAATTATGTTAATTTATTCATATTAATAAAGCTGTGGACGTTATACTCCAACAGTATTAAACGTGTCCGTGTATTATTAAAGTTAAAGTTTATAGCACATGCCGAATAACGACAGTGCAAATGTCATGAAGCCCATGGAACAACGAAGTAAGGGGAGTGGGCCTTGACAGAGCCAGGAGTGGGCAGGTGCAGTTAGTTAGGGGTTGGTTTAAGCTAATGGAGCTTGGGGGCGGGATCAAAGGGGGTTGAAATAACGGCCATCTTAGAGAGTGGCCATTTTAATCAGAACTTCACTTACCTGTCAGTTGTCCCACCCACCCTCCCTGTGTTGAGGTGAATTTCCCGTTTTGTCACAGCGGCGGGAACAGGGCGTGGTTAAGTTGGAAGTTATCAAGGAATTGGAACTGTACAGGCCAGGGCCTAGGCTGAAGTAGGCCAGACGGTGTCATGGTTGGTAGGTTCTAGCTCTTCGGTGGCGACGAACCTGGGGGTGTAGGGGTGTCTGGGTACACCCCTACAGTTATCATTATGATATGGGGCCTCGTTGGTAGGCCGGATGTTTACAAGTTTATTGGTAATTGATGTTAATTATGTTAATTTTTGTTCATGTGGTAGGGTCATTGTCAGGGGATTGTGCGGGGGGATAATAAATAATGTCATTTATGACAATGACTCTAATTATGTTAATTTATTCATATTAATAAAGCTGTGGACGTTATACTCCAACAGTATTAAACGTGTCCGTGTATTATTAAAGTTAAAGTTTATAGCACATGCCGAATAACGACAGTGCAAATGTCAAGTGCATGCAAGCTCTCTACTGCTTAAAATTTGACTGAATATCTATTCTCTGTTACCATCACTCTTTAACATCTAATATCTTAAATGGAGGACATCAGCATGGCGTTTCACTAGCCACAAGGAACTTCAATGATGTCACACTGTCTTCATGATGTCATGTATCGAGTCTATAATTATCCAGCATAGCTTAGCTCTTAGTCAGTCCCTTGTTTATTTTACAGACAAACATAATTCAGAGTGATTGGAGGATAGACAGTTCCAGCTGAATACTCACCAAACTTTGAATTTAGGAAAAGCAGCACAGGAATTTGAAATCTTGTCCAAAATAGACAAGACAAAAATAGCAAGTAAGGAATTTTCTTTTTTTTTTTTTTTGGGTGAAAAATTAGAAATCTTATAGTTTTGTCAAACCATGGTGCTTCTCACCTACCTACCCTGAGAATGTCAAAATAATATGTTATTTTGGATATCCCAAAATGACGTTGATCTTACTATTGTGTTGCTTGACCTTTTCTAAAGTTTCCCTTAATATGGTGTCTGCCTCTCTTTGCCTCTGCTTCAGGTTATTCCCCTTCTAGACTGTCACAGGCTCCATCTAACTGTTGGTATTCAGATTTCATCACTTCAATGTGCTGTGAAAAAAGAAATGTCTAGTGCAATAATTTTCCATGCGGTAAGCCTCACCTTTCTATAACAACAGTATGTATGTAACACCTTGTATGTTAACTGGCTGTCTCTTGATGACATCAGTCATGTCAGGCTGTCTTATGATGTCATAGATATAGTCTATAAATACCTAGCACAGCCTAGGTCAGGGATAGGCAACCTTCGGCACTCCAGATGTTGTGGACTACATCCCCCATAATGCTCTTACACACATAATGCTGGCAATGCTGGATAAACTGTCACAGTTGAATATTCAGCAAATGTGGAATTTTGGAGAAGCAATGTGAACATTTTTGTCCAAAATAGACAAGGTAAAAAATAGCAAATTGAGATTTTTTTTTGTCCATTTGCCTAAAAAGTGAAGTTTCATTGTTAATTCAACTTCTGGTGCCTCTGGTCTACATGTTGTGTTTGTTAATTCAACTCAGGGTGCGTCTGATCTACATACCTTGTGCATATTAAAACAATGCTGTATTTTGAATGTTCTTAAACTTCTGTTAATCTTGCTACTGTTTTGCTGGATCTTTTCTATAGTTGCTCCCTAACACTATGTCCGCCGCCGTATGTCTGTCTTTCAACTTATTCCCCTGATAGAGACTGTCACAGTCTCTTCCTGACTTTTTGTTAGATGTTTCATTAAACAGAGCTCTGCAGTGTCTTAAAGGCCCAAATGATAACATTTAGAGTAAATATTGCAGATGTTAAAACATTCTTAACCTACACATTAGCCTATATCAGGCTTCCCCAAACTCCGGCCCTCCAGATGTTTCTGAACTACAACTCCCATGATTCTATGAATGAAATAGATAGGCTGAGAATCATGGGAGTTGTAGTTCAACAACATCTGGAGGGCCAGAGTTTGGGGAAGCCTGGCCTATATGTTGCCATTCACATAACAAATTACGTCAATATTTTTTTTTTAACTAAACCCCCAAAATGACCAGTACAATCACATTAAGCACTAACTTACTCTCACAACAATATCTTGTTAACACATTGCATGTAACCGGCCTTTTTTGTATGACTTTTATTGTGTTCGATTAGCCATACATAATTTTATCAATGCCACATGTTATATATCATGCCTATATATACCTAGCACTCCTTAGGTCTTAGCTAGTCCCTAGACAAGGAAAAAAGCAGCAAATATATGACCTTTTATTTTGTAAAATGTCATAGTCCTAAATGTTATCTTAATTTTACCACATGACAGGAGGCTTCATATTTGCATACCTTTCTTTACTGAAAACTCCAGCAGCATAGAAACATAACAACCAATCAGAAAAAGTTATGATGCCCATAAAAGGCCCTGTCTATGACATCACTTCCTCTTTCTTTGCTGCTCCAGCCTACAAAGGTCACAGTATTTTGCCTCTCTGGGATAACCTAGATTTTATTAAAGGACACGGAGGCTCTTATTATGCTTTACTCTTTCTCTTATTCCTCAGCAGCAAAAGAAAATATTGTATATATATTCAATGCAAAAAAGAAAAACACTTCAATAACATTACATCATAACTTCCCACGGGTTAACCATATACCACATATGAACCAATCAGAGTGTCCCTATTACAATAAAGTCCCATGTGACCCTAAGCCACTCCTCTTTCTTTAGCTGCTGCAGCCTCAGATAAGTACAAGAATTTTTTCCTCCTCTGTTTCTGACAGTTAAATATCTTGCTGTTTCAGTCAGATTACCTTTAAATCCTTTATTTCTCTCATGATTTGGTTGTGTTAATATTCTTCTTGGTTTTTCTTCCCTTTGGGCCTTGTCCTCCCTGTATTGCTTTCCCTCTCTCTCCCCCTCCCCCCTCCGGTCGGTTTGTTTATTTCCCGACCTTTTGCTTTCCCTCCACTGCCTGGGCTTCCCATCACACGGGTACTGCTGCCGGTCACGGTCCCGGCGGTCCACGGTTATTACGGGAGTATGATCCCTGGAGCTTATTCCTGAGGGAACACTCGGTGAACTTGCTGCATTTCTTATTGTTGTCTGCCTCTGTTCACAATTTGATAAACACTTGGTGCCTGGTGCCTGCTAGTGTTTGATAATATTTTGGTTGGGGTTTAGCCATACTAGTAACCTATTTAGGGGACATACTTACCAGCCTGCCTGTATTTACTGTCCTTTCCACCCAGACATGCAGGCTGAGAACGTAGCACATAGTGCCACAACACCTAGAGCCACCATGACCACCCCACACTTGCAAGGCCCCAAAATGTCCACAGCGTTGGAAACAGCGCAGGAGCATATGGACTCAGAGGAGTTACATTCCCTCTTGGACGCGGCTATGGCAACTGCCGCCTAACCCCATGGCTAACCCCCCAGAAAGTAAACCGGTGGCCCCTAGAGGGCGTAAAGCTGCTAAAAAGTCTCGCCATTTAGACGAGTATGCCTCCAAAACCCTACAGACGGACAGGGCACGTCCTGTCACAGAACCTGTGGTTGGACCACAACTAAGAGCCCCCCACCGGGCAAAATCGGTGAGGAAATGGAAGAGGGCTAAGGCCCTACTCGAATCCTCTGACTCTAAATCGGAGCAAGAGGAGGCACAGAGCGAGTCCGAAGAGGAGGACTCTGATGATTCTGATGATAATCTATTGCGGAGATATGACACTGTCACATGCACGGACACGGAGCTGCCGACTCCGCCTTAGTTGACCCTCAGGGCGAACCATTGTTCGACCCAGACACCCTACAACACCCGAGGTCCTCCGAGTGGTACCCTCTGGACTACGTAGTGAAATATATCGCTGCCCGCATCAGAAAGCCACTGGATAAGGTGGCGCAGAGCAAGCTGCGCGCAGAATGCACACACCCCACGGTCCCGGATATGGCATGCGCCACCCCAGAGGTGGACCCAAAAATCACCCAATTTTTGGGAAAATCAGGCTGGAAGGCCAAGAAGGGCCTGGATTTTGCCTGGCGGAATTGCCAGGATAAGGTATTGGACATCCTTGGACCAATCGCGAGGATGTTCGATATGGTCAAAATCGCATTGGCAGGGGGTGCACCGCTGGACCTGGAAGCCCTCAGAGGGTGGATCCAGCGTACCGTGTGTCTCCTGGGCAACGCTAATACGGCAGTGGCCACGGAAAGACGCAAAGCGATCCTAATTAAGATTGAGCCTAAGCTAGTAAACCTAGCTATCTCAGAGCCGGGTCCCCAGGCTAAAACCCTCCTATTTGGGGATAACTTCGTAAAAGAGCTAGGCACATATGTTGGCACCTTTATAAAGCTCAGGCCAGCATGAAGCGAGTGTTCCATCAGAGAGTATTTGGCGGGGCCGGCAGATATAGGGCTGTCTGCCCAGCCGCTCTCCCCGGGGCTCATACCGGAGCTCTCGTGGCTCCGCGCAATTCAGATTCACACCCCCGGAACCAAAACAAGCCTCACCTTTCTTCCCAGTTCGAGGCAGACCATGGCAAACCCGAGGACCTTATGGTAGGTTCACTACCTCTTCATATGTCGGCATTAACTATGGTGGGGGGCAGACTGGGCCATTTTGTAAAAACATGGCACATGCTCACTGCGGATGCCTGGGTGCTCCACACGGTCCGGGGTTACTCTATAGATTTTGTGCAATGCCCTGTCCAACTGAAACCCCCCAGCCGAATGGTGTTCCCCACTCGGGACCGAGAGTTGATAACCCAAGAGGTCCAGGCCTTAGCCTCCAAGGGGGCAATTTATACAATTCCCCCTGTCACCCCAGGTTTCCTAAGCAACCTATTCTTAGTACCCAAAAAAGGCGGAGGCGTTCGCCCAGTCATCAACTTGAGACCTTTAAACCTGTTTGTCACATCCCATCACTTCAAGATGGAAGGTATACACTCTCTCAGGGACCACCTCCTCACAGGGGACTGGATGGTCAAACTCGACTTGAAGGACGCATATCTCACGGTCCCAATGGCCGACGACTGCCAGCACTTCCTACAATTCCGATGGGAAGAGACCATGTGGCGATTCAAATGCCTACCGTTCGGTCTCTCATCTGCCCCCTGGTGCTTCACAAAGCTCATGAAACTAGTGGTCGCCCTCCTAAGCAGCAGGGGAGTGCGGCTCATAATTTACCTGGACGATACCCTCATCATGGTGCAAGACCCACTTCTGTTGCACAAACATTTCACTTGGACGAGAAATCTGTTAGAAAACCTGGGCTTTCTGATCAGATGGGAGAAGTCGGTCATCGAACCCTCGCAAGCAATAGAATTCCTGGGATTCACCATAGACGCGGTGACCGGAACACTCCTACTCCCAGCGACCAAGGTCAAGGCCATCAAAAAGGAGCTCAAGCGGATGCTCACACGTCCAGTCCTTACTTTGAGACAGCTGGCCAGGATTGTAGGCCTCCTCTCGGCGTCAATTCATGCCATCTTTCCCGGACCCCTACACTACAGGGCACTTCAACGATTAAAGGCAAAATACCTTCGTTTGGGGCGCTCATACTCAGATTCTGTTCCTCTTGACTGTACCGCCAAAGACGAAATCAAGTGGTGGCTACAACACATGGAGGCCTGGAATGGCCGCGCGATCTTCGGAACAGCTCCGGACCTCAGAGTGGAATCCGATGCAAGCTTGCTCGGTTGGGGTGCGCGCTGCGGACCTTTCTCCACCGGAGGAAGATAGATGGTCCAGGGAGGAACAAGGACTTCATATCAATTGCCTCGAACTATTGGCAGGTTCGTTTTCTTTACGGAGTCTTTTGAACGTGTCGACCAACTGTTCCATCCTGTTACGCATGGACAACGTTTCAGCGGTCCGTTATATCAACCACCTCGGGGGCACGAGGTCGGCAATACTTATGGAATTAGCGAAGGACTTCTGGCAGTTCTGCCTGGATCGCAACATATCAATGCAAGAGGAATACATCCCGGGGAAGAGCAATGTAGTAGCAGACTTGAACTCCAGATATCTACGAGATGCCAGCGACTGGCGTCTGAACCCGGCCACCTTCAGCCATTTGCAATCACTGTGGGGACCACTGGACATCGACCTGTTCGCCTCACGACTAAACACGCAATTACCGAGGTTTTTCAGTTGGAGGCTGGATCTGGAGGCTCTAGCGACGGACGCTTTCCGACAACAGTGGCCGAACGCCAGATATTACGCTCCCCCTTTTCTCTCATCGCACGAACCTTGCTGCACCTCAGACAACACCGAACTTCTCTAATCCTCGTATCGCCCTTCTGGACATCTCAACCCTGGTTCCCTACACTCCTGGAAATGTTCATAAATCTTCCGAGGTTACTTACTACCGGTACACGACAGCATTCTCCTGGATCCCTATGGCAATCCACATCCCCTCATACTGCAGGGACATCTCAAGCTTTTGGCATGGCTCCTCTCAGGGGACTCAATGACATCCCAAATGTTCCACAAACAACTCTGGACCTCCTGGCAGAAGCTTGGGCCCCAGGTACAAGGAAATCATATTGACATGCCTGGAACGCATGGCATGGTTGGTGCGTGGAACAACACGTGGATCCCATATCTGCAACTGTGAGTCAAGTCTTGGGTTTCCTCACTTCCCTTTTCGACCACGGCCTTTGATATATCGAGGCGTACAAAAATGTCCATTTAAAAGTTTTTTTACCCCGCGTTTCCACATAAAAGTAACTTATGCCCAGTAGCCTGTCTCAAGGAGTATGAAACAAGGACGGCGGCGGTCCGAGACCCTCAATGTTGCAGACCTCTTCCTGGCTATTCGACAACCACGTCGTCCGGTTTCTACAGTCACCATATCTTGCTGGGTCAAATGGATCATGACATCGGCAGGCATTAATACTTCCACATACGGAGCACATTCAGTGAGGGGTGCGATGGCATCAAAAGCTTTTTCATTAGGCTGTAAATTGGAAGATCTCCTCCGAGCAGCCGATTGGTCGAGAGAATCTACATTCCGGGAATTTTATTTCCGTCCGGTTTCCCATTTTTCCACGTCAGTGATCACACAGCTTTGAACTAGCATAATAAGACCCTCTATGTCCTTTAATAAAATTACCAGATTTTACTAATTTCATGATGTAAAGTCATGATTTTATAAAGGACACGGAGGCGAGTATTATCCCACCCAATAAAGGTAAGTTGCCCTCCTCTGGGAATGTAATGTATGTTATGGGACTTGAGCCGTGTGATAATGTGTTCTTTTATTTTCCATTTGAGTGAATAACATGAGAATGATTTAGTGTTTTAGATAGCTTTGGAATATGAACGTGGAAAAATATTATCCAAGAACACCTTTTACCATCTCGTTTCTCTGTCTTACAGCTTCCTAATTGGAGTGCCATAATGGTCCAGTCATACCCGCAGGTGTGCGGATGGAGGATGACCAGTTTTTTCTGACGTCATCTTCTACTGGATTCACTGTTCTCTATACGACTACTGGTTATTTCATTGCGGAATATTGGAGTGTCCATCAGCAACACCAAAAGAAAGAGGAGTGGCTTAGGGTCACATGGGACTTTATTGTAATAGGGACACTCTGATTGGTTCATATGTGGTATATGGTTAACCCTTGGCAAGTTATGATGTAATGTTATTGAAGTGTTTTTCTTTTTTCATTGAATATATATACAATATTTTCTTTTGCTGCTGAGGAATAAGAGAAAGAGTAAAGCATAATACTCGCCTCCGTGTACTTTATAAAATCATGACTTTACTTTAAATATGGTAATTTGCATTGTCTACATGATATTTACTTTATCTTTATTTTACCTCTATTGCTCCTGGCCCTCTTATAGCTGCTCGTTTTTTCCCAATATCATCTTGTATTCACAGTCTCTTAATGTTGCACTGATTACTGCTTTGTGGTCCGCGGGCGTCGCACTCGCTTCGCGGACCTACCTCATATACTCTCCGGGGACTGTGTGGGGATGGGTAGAGGAAGGCCGGGTCAGCGTTTGTGTTCTTTCCGCGCTACGGACCCGCAGCCGCGAGTCCGTTGCGCACTCTCACATGCGAGTGACGGCCATCTTAGATCTTGCGGCTCGCGAGATGCAGGACGGCCGCCTTCCCTGCTCGCTCTGCGGATCGGGACTCACCCGATCGGCACGCTCAGCAACTGTCTTACCCCAAACAAGCATTCCACAAACAGGTCCTTAGACGGCTGACACCTCAGTTGTTTTTTCATATATGACATGACACATGGCTCTAACAGCCCCCTCTTGTTCAATGGGAGTATTACTCTAAGCTGTCAGTCTCATGCATACAAACTGCTTTCCATGCCACTTTATGGATATATAAAGCATGCAGGCATTAAGGGAGACGGAGTGAACTACTGTACCCTGCACAGGGTCATACTATATTACT